ACATTAGTCTCAGAGAACAAAGTAAGGAACCTTGGTGTTATCTTTGACCAGGACATGTCTTTCAAATCCCAGGTTAAACAGGTTTGTAGGATTTCCTTTTTCCACCTTCGGAATATTGCTAAGATTAGAAGCATCCTTTCCAGGAGTGATGCTGAGAAAATAGTTCATGCATTTATTACATCAAGACTGGATTACTGTAATTCATTACTCTCAGGAAGTCCACAGAATGTAGTTAAAAGTCTTCAGCTTGTCCAAAATGCTGCAGCTAGAGTTCTGATGAGAATTAAAAAGAGAGATCATATCTCTCCTGTCTTAGCTTCCCTACATTGGCTACCTGTTAAACTCAGAATAGATTTTAAGATCCTTCTTCTCACATATAAAGCTCTTAATAATCAAGCTCCATCATACATCAGTGATCTGATTGTTCCATATGTTCCTAACCGGGCACTTCGCTCTCAGACTGCAGGTTTACTGGTGGTTCCCAGAATATCTAAAATTAGGATGGGAGGCAGATCTTTTAGTTATCAGGCTCCTATCCTGTGGAACCAGCTCCCAGCCTTAGTCCATGAGGCAGACACTTTGTCTACTTTTAAGAATAGGCTTGAAACAATTTTATTTGATAGGGCCTATGGTTAAAATCTGATGTTAGCCTAAATCTGGACAAGTGGGGGAGTAGAGGGAGGTGGAGTGTACAGTCGGTAAAGACGGCTCTCCCTTGCCCTGCCTCCAACATGCCTCCATCTAAATAGGATAGATTATCCAGAGTTATCTCTGTAGTTATGCTGCTATAGGCTTAGACTGCTGGAGGATACACTGACCACTGACCAAGTGTTTTTCTCCCCAGAAGAAGCTACAACGATGTTCTGCTGAGCTGTGGTGGCCTCATGGAGGGGGCCATCGTCTAGCACACTGCTGCTAACCACTTAAACATTCTCCCTCTCCTGATAATAACTTGTTGCTTTCCTTGACGTTGGATGTGCTACTACTAGTTTATCCGTTTAATTATAGATCCACTAGGATAAATACAATAAAGTTTATCTCTCACCAAATAGAATATTTACTAATAAATCACAATATAACTATAGACGCATTACTTTGCCGTGTGTGTGTGTGTGTGTGTGTGTGTGTGTGTGTGTGTGTGTGTGTGTGTGTGTGTGTGTGTGTATGTGTGTCTCTGCTCTGTCTTCTTCATCCCCAGTGAGTCATGGAGGATGGCTTCTTATACTGAGCCAGGATCCTCTGGAGGTTTCTTCCTGTTAAAAGGGAGTTTTCCTCTCCACTGTCGCTATATGCTTGCTTAGTATGAGGATTGCTCTAAAGTCACTGACACTAGTCAGTGACTCGATGCAATTTGCTGGGTTCCTTATATAGGAAACATTATTTCTGATTGGCTTAATGAACTGACCTGAATTGGAATGTTTATTATGTGAAGTGCCTTGAGACGACTCTTGTCGTGATTTGGCGCTTTATAAATAAACTTGAATTGAAGGGACCGTTGGTGCCTGTGTGTGGCAAACTCACCTCTGTCAGTGTATCCCTGGGCAGCTGTGGCTACAGTATAGCTCATCACCACTAGGGTGTGAATGGGTGAATGACTAATTGTGTTGTAAAGTGCCTTGGGGAGTTCCAGGTGTCACGTATCAAAGGGGTCAATCTTTCACCATCTAACTGACACAGCATACCCTTCATACACGCCAGGAACTGCAAAGGCAAGGCTGCACCAGCTGGAGGATCCAGACGCACAAATCAACCCTTTGCTCACTTATTGTTCCTCAACGCTGACAAAAACAATCCGTCCCAAGGTCTGACGCAGGACCCAGACTGCTGAGTCCTCACTCTCCACTGGAAGCTCCTGTAGGATTTTATAGTTGCAAGTTAAATAATCATATGTGACAAGTGAACAAGATGTTTAAATGAAATGTTTGAATAATCTGTGCTTAAATTAATGAATTTGAAATGAATATTGTTCTTACAATGATCCATTTATATAAAAAAATCAGTGTGTGTTTGATTTAACAAGTTAATCATTGTTTACACTCATACACATTTCAATAAAATACATGTTATGGTTAATATTCACCTCACATAAGAGTTTTGAACATTCCTATTCACAGTGCTTTGTATCTGAGGAAGGCGTGGCTTTCTGAGGGATGTTGGTAAAACTCCAAATGTGTCGAATTGCGAGCATGCTCCAGTTAGCGAAGGTTAATGGTAGAGATTGCAGTGCCCAAAAGTAACAGGAAATACATCACAAGATGATTCGGTGGGGTCAAAAGTGTCAATAACATTTTTAAACTACACTTAAATGCAGATTATACACAGCACTCATAGTTTGTATGATGTAGAGATCATTTAGTTTAATTTTCATGGTTTATTTTTTTATATTTTGTGATTCCTATGTCCTTCTTCCTGTGAGACTGGTGGGGTGGTGCCCTAGCGCCCCCTATGGGCGAGCTGCCATTGTCCAACATGTTTAATATCTGATTTATGAACAGAGCCAGCCCAACATCCTTCCAAGCAGACCAGACACACCACACACGGCAGGACTATCTTTTAAAATCCTTTTTAGAGCCATTGCAGTAATCTGGCGAATCCTTTAGATTTTCGGGAGAGGAGCATCAGGTTCAAAAATCGGCATAATTATCTTTCGGTGTTAACCGGCCTTAGAATCAATCTGGATGGATATCATCATAATAAATCAAATTCAAACATAATTTTAAAAAATCAATGATTTTCTCAACTATTTACCCCCCAAAAATCTAGGGATATTAATTTCAGGCCATCCCAGTTGTTTCACCAAGAGAAAAGATTTTAAGTTTTGTGGTTTTAGCAAAATTACTCACGAACCTCCAGATGGATTTTAATGAGTCTCTCAAAGAAATTATTGGATAAACTTTTAGAAACAACCAGATTAAAGATGGCCACCACAGCTAAACATCCATATCCTATAAAAATGGTTATGAATCTTGTAATCAAATAAAACTTTTAAGAACGCCTTTATTTACGTATCAGTCCAAAATATGGTCAACCTTTCGTCCATCTTTTAGTAACTTTTTTTCGTTTTTGAGCAGCCATGTTTTGTTTCCAGTGCTGGTCTAAGGTTTGCAGCATGCCCACCTGTCACAGTTACAACAGTGAAAAGACATCGACGCAGGAAATGTGGTTACACTTTTGTCACTTAAGCACCGGAAGTTTTACTCCTTCTGCCATACTGAGGTTAAACTTGCAGAAAGGGCTGCAGCTTTTGCATGATAAAAGCACCAGCCAGTGACATGAGCTTGTTGAATAGTGTATATCCAGCTCTTATAACACATTGTTATTATAACATTATTGGTGACTGAAAAATGGTAAAGTAAAAAAAATAAAAGTCGCATTCATATGAGTGATTTTTAAGGTTTCCGACAGGGATCAGGGACCTGTATCAGCCCAAAATATCACATTGGTGCATCCCTAAAATGCATTTGAATTAAAATTATTTCAGTAGATTACGTTGTTCTTGTGATCAATAGGAGTCAAAACTGAAATGCAAACTTGATCTTTCTTCCTGGCACTCACAGAGTACAGACGCTTCTCTTTTCACTTCCTTATCTTTTTTTCCCAAGGCTCTTTTGTCCTGTCTGCCCACAGAGTGCTTCTCTGCATTTCTTCTGAAAAACCCTATTTTTAACCATGGATTTGATAAATTGGTCATTCAACGCAATGGATAAGATTTTTTCAACAATGAGAACGGAGCAGGGGGCTCCCACATGTCTACAGGGGACACACCCGGTGGGGTATATGCTGGATTCCTGGAGGGAATGGAAGATCGTTTGCCTCTCCCAGCTGTCCATTGAGGATATCGAAGACGTGTGGATATTCGGCCTGATGATCACTGGATCTCTCCTGATTGGAGTGGGAGGATATCTGGTTTTCTGGAAATTTGGGAAGACGGGAACGATTGGAGGGCGACCCGCACCCACGGAAAGCACCGTCCTTGTGGAGACTTCTCAGACTGGGACATTACTCGAGGTGAATCGTAAGCTGGACAATGTTCTAGCTGCGATACCGGTATTAGTGCGCAAAATGGATGTCATCTCGGAGAGAGTCACCGGACGGTATGGACAAGTTTAAAAACCCAAAATTGGCTTCACTGAAGGACTGGAATGATCAGTTTAAAGACTGAAGGCAGAGAGGAAAATTATCTCAGCCTGACCCAAACAAATTCTTGTTATCTGAATCTGACTCCCTGGTAGCCCTTGAGCTGCAACAAACCCCCACAAAGGAATGCAGATAGATTCTGTGAACCCCCCCCCCCCCCCCCCCCCCCCCCCCCCCGCCGCCTTCGGATTGGTGGACTTCAGCCTGGCGAGGTCATCAACTACAGGAGTCAATGTGCTCTCTTTGCTTCTCCCAAGATCTCCCTCCCACCTGTGACTGTACAGTGGCTGAGCGCCGTAGATGGCTGCTCTCGCTGGGGGAAACAAGATCCCAGCCCCCCCTTCCTATTGGAGTCTCATGTTGTGTTGTCTGAAGTCTGTTGCATATCTGTGAGGTGTTTTTTTGCAGAGCAACGCTGCCCTCCTGGTGGGAGAGTAACTCTGAAGTGCCTTTTTTTCCCTCCACCTGAACCAATCCTCATATAACCCTCTTATCTCTATTTAGGTAGCGCGACTCGGGTTGCGAATGACCAAAGTCACCAATTCTTGTCATGTGTCTTGCCCATGTATGTCTGATCTCTGAATTGTGTGTACTGAAACTCTAATTTCCCTCTGGGATTAATAAAGTATTGATTGATTGATTGATTGATTGATTGATTAGATACACAGCCGTTGTTTCCCTAAAGGCAGCTTTACTCTTGATAAAATCACTGCATAAAATTTAACTGCAAAACAGCTAATCAAAGCAATGAGATAAAATTGGAGGAAAGCCGCAGAGTTTGAATCAAGATTTGTCGGTTTCTTTTGTACAGTGCGCTTTTTTTCAAGTAAAACTGTAAGCAGTGCAAAGGAAAATTCCCAATTTTCCTTAACTCTACTTTCAGGAGCTCTTTAAGGGTTTCTACTTTCGTTTTCATGACAGTAAAGAAGACGACTGGTGTCACTCCTTGAGCTCCAGACTCAGAGCCACACAGTCATATATTCATCATCTGCGTTTAGTATTTCAGACCTATTAATAGTCAGCTCCCAGCCACTGCTAAACCACTGTGACACACACACACACACACACACACACACACACAGTGCTCTACAGCTGGACTCAAATATCACATCGACCGCCACCAAACTGAAGCCTGCCGAGGAGGAAGCACGTTACAGGTTGCTGGTTTCCGTGATTGATCACAAATTCGTGAGGTTTCATTTACTTTGTGTGGTTCTGTGCTGCTGTTATTTAAAGATTACGGATGAATTATTTTCAGATGAGGTTCTGCAGGCTAGTTTGACTTTAGGGTGTGAATAGGCAAACATTTTCCTGTCCTCTCCTGCACCCCCTCTGAGGAGGACCTCTGTGTGTGGAGATGTTTAGTTGTTTTTTTTAGAGTTAAAACGAACTTTTGACAGATAGAACTCAGTATTTACTGTCAGATCTTGTGGTTACGGCATCACAGATATTTTCTTTTGTTTCTTCTTCTCACAGGTTGTTTGATTCGTCGAGGGCGGAAAGAAGCAGACTTCCTCTCAGCCTCCTCCCCCTCCCTAGCAGCCCATCTTGCCTCTGGAGGAAAAAGGGGGTAGATGGTGTGTGCTGCAGCAGAGGGAAGGTGCTCAGCGGCAGCAAGTCTGACAAGCCTCACCTCCTCAGACTAACTCACAACAGTCAGAAACATTTTCCTGGAGCTTGTTTTGGATATTCGAGTCGAGGCCGGAGGGTAATCGGCAAACATGTCTCCGTTTCTGCGGATTGGGTTCTCCAACTTTGAGATCGATTCGGGTTTGGCTTACTACGAGGAGGTGCTGAACCCTTACTGTGCTGTTTACATGAAGGAGGCCATCGACACAGGTACGTGACCAACAGCAGCATCACACTGCGGATGGATTCATTAGTCAAATTTTTATCGTTAAATTTCACTCATTTCTTCTTAAACCAGCTCATCACTGAGTCCCTTTGAAATAATTGAATTGATAAACATATAGTAACATCTTCTGTAACCCATTTACATTTTAAGAATCAACCTTTTGATGAGTTCAGCATTTCAAAAATGAACTTTGCAGATGTAAAATATCTCCACAGACATGTTATTATGGGCCTCTGCTCTGTAATGTTCCCAGGACTCGTCGGACCTGCTTTCTGTTATTTCCCTCCCTGATGATGAATTAAATCTGAGACAATAAGCACTTGTGGCAGCAGTAGCTCAGGAGGTAGAGCGGGTTGTTCAGTTATCGGAAGGTTGCAGGTTTGATCCCGGCTCCAGCCCCATAATGCTGCCGTTGTGTCCTTAGGCAAGACACTTAACCCACCTTTCCTGTTGGTGGTGGTCGGAGGGACTGGTGGCACCCCCCACCTCTGTCAGAGCCCCAAGGCAGCTGTGGGTGCACTGTAGCTCATTATCACCTGTGTGTGTGTGTGTGTGTGTGTGTGTGTGTGTGTGTGTGTGTGTGTGTGTGTGTGTGTGTGTGTGTGTGTGTGTGTGTGTGTGTGTGCGTGAATGATTCACTGTAGTGTAAAGCGCTTTGGAGTCCTAGGTGTGGGTCATTTGTCTCCTTTAGGAGAGTTGAAAGCTCTTCTAAAACTGACCAATGTGTTTATTAGGCAGATTTTGTGACTGCGACAGGTTGATTTGAGCTTATTTAGTTCTTGTGCATTTTGGTGCACTTTATAAAAGCATACTTCAGCTTAATCGTGTCTAATCTGAAGGAACATCCTGGGCAAATTACGGTTAAATAAAAAAGTCTTTGGTGTTTACAAAAAGCACAGATTATAGGTGTGATTCACTCCAAAAACATTTTTAATGGTTACTTCTGATCATAATCGGTTACTCTGAGTTTTTATGCAGGCCAAAAATTAAAATAGTCTCCTACACCTATCTCCTGCATTAGCTCCTGATTAATCCTGACCGAGTAATTCCGACCATAACGGCTCCAAGGATAGTTTTGATTAAGATAGATGAGATCTTTACTTGCCATTTGTACACACACACTTGGTCTGAGAACATTGGAGTTATTTGTGCAGAGCTTAGAGTCTAGACTAATCCCTTACTGCACACTGGAAGCATCAGCAGCACGGACTGGCAGCGGAGCGTCACCGCTTCAAATAGAATCCATTATAGTCTATGGAGCGTCACAAACCAGCCGCAACGCCACATTTTTCAGGCGGGTCCCAGAAGCGCCGTGCTGCTGAAGATAGGATTGGGGGCGAGCTGGGCGATATGGTCTAAAACCAATATCACGATATATTGAGGATTTCACCTCAATAACGATAAATCAACGATAACTACAGGAATGCACAGAAACAAAAATTGACCACTAGATGGCGCTGTCACAGGTATCACCTTGAGTCACATTTTTACGTGACTCGAGGCGATACAGCATCTTAAAGGGACATGAATGTTGCCAACCTACACACATCTTTTAAATTTTTATCATCAAATTTATCGACATGGGAAACATTCTCTCGATAAGAGTCAGAATTTTCAATAACGATAAATTTTTGATTTATTGCCCAGCCCTCGTATCGGGTTCAATTTTTTCCACGAGCCACTTCTGGGATGCCTCAATTTACGCCGTTGACATAGGGCTAGACAAGAAATCACACACGGTTTCAGTGTAAAATCCTTGGTAATTTTCAAAATAAAAGTACAGCAGCTATGTAATTTCCACGGGCTGCGTAGTGGCGCAGTTGTTAGCACTGTTGCCTCGCAGCAAGAAGGTTGCAGGTTCAAAACTCGGCTGCAGTCTTTCTGCGTGGAGTTGCATGTTCTCCTCATGCATTCTTGGGTTTCCCCCACAGATCACAACATGCCCTAAAGGTTGAAAATGGTAACGTCGCTTTGGATAAAAGCCAAATAAATAAACGTAAACATATAAATGAAACTTACGTGTGACCTAGCGGCTTATTTACCTCCTGCATCGTTCCAGAAGTGCAGCGGTGTGTTTTTCATGGCTTTAATCCTGGCAGTGGCGAGGAACAACGTCAAATAGAAGAAGAAGAAGAAAATATCATTTCTAAAGCGCCTCTCAAGATAAAAATCACGAGGCCCTATAGACCAGAACCAGGATCTTGAAATGAACCCTGAAGTTGACTGGCAGCCAGTGAAGCTGGAGGAGAAGCGGGGTGATATGGGTGTGTTTGGAGGACTTGGTCAGAAGCCGAGCACAGGCGTTCTGAACCACCTGTAGACGGTTCAGGGAGGTTCTGCTCAGACACGTGAAAAGAGAGTTACAGTAGTCTAAGTGTGAGGAGATGAAGGTGTGGAGAACTGTCTCAAGTTCAGAGCGGGACAGAATGGGACTCAGCTTAGCAACGTTCCTGAGATGGAAGAAGGAAGAGCGAACAAGAGAACTGACATGAGAATCCAGGGTGAGAGCTGGGTCAAAGGTCACGCCAAGATTCCTGATAGAAGGTTTGGTGTGGGAAGCAAGCTGACCAAGAGAGTCTCTGACTTTGGGAACCAGCTTGTCTGGGGCACAGATGAGGATCTCAGTCTTATCTTCATTCAGCTGAAGAAAGCTCCCACCATCCAGGCTTTGATAGAGTCTAAGCAGGTGTGTAACCGCTGCAGTTTAGACATCTCATGGGGCTTAAAGGAGATGTACAGTTGGATGTCATCTGCATAAAAATGGTAGGAGATTCCTTTGAAGGAGCTCAGGATGTGCTGAAGAGGAAGCAGATAGAGGAGGAAGAGCAGAGGCCCCAGCACAGAACCTTGTGGGACACCATGGGTAAGAGAGGTGGTGGAGGACCTAAACTTGGAGACGGCCACAGAAAAGGAGCGCTCAGAGAGATAAGAGGAGAACCACTCCAGAGCAGATCCTGATAGGCCGACCCAGTCTCTCAGCCTCTCCAGTAGCAGGTGATGGTCAACAGTGTCAAAGGCTGCAGTCAGGTCCAGCAGGACCAGAACAGAACAGTCCCCTGCATCACTGTGAGTCAGAAGGTCATTAGAGACCCTAAGAAGAGCTGTTTCAGTAGAATGAGCTCTACGAAAACCTGACTGGAATCTATCATAGATGTTATGTTCATCAAGAGCAGCTGTGAGTTGTTTAGCCACAACCTTTTCCAAGATCTTGGAGATGAACGGAAGTTTAGAGATGGGTCTGAAGCTGCTATGGAGAGAGGGGTCAGGACTCGGTTTTTTAAGAAGCGGGTGGATAACAGCGTTCTCAAAGTAAAAAGGGACCTGACCAGAAACCAGAGAAGCATTAATTATAGAGAGCACGCTGGGACCGATGGACTGAAAAGCACTTTTAAACAAAGATGAGGGTAAGATGTGGAGGGGGCATGCAGAGGTCTTCATAGAGTTAACTAGTTTGGTTAACTCAGGCAAAGAAACAGGAGCAAAGCTATCTAGGATGATGGGCCTGGTTGGAGTCGGGAGAGGCGGCGATAAGGCTGAAGGAGAGATGCTAGATCTGACCTTATTGACTTTGTCCACAAAGAAAGACAGAAAGTTCTCACAGTCTGCAACAGAGTGGATGGAGGCTGTAGGAGAGGCAGGAGAGACGATGCTGCTGATGGTGTTAAACAGCACCTTGGGTTTCCCTTTGCTCTAGGACACCAGGTTGGAGAAATAGGAAACCCTGGCGTCTCTGACTGCAGAGTTAAAGGATGTCAGAAGATCCTTTAGGTGCAGCAGATGGACGTGGAGATGGGTTTTCTTCCACAAACGCTCAATCTTTCTGCATTGGCGCTTCAGGCTGCGAAGGCTGTCATTAAACCAGGGAAGTAGGGTTCACTGCAGGAACTGATCTGGTTCTGACAGGACAGATGTTGTCCAGAATGGAGAGGCAGTGCTCGTTAAACTGAGAAGTTAAGGAATCTGGGTCATTATCATAAGAACAGGGTGGATCAAAAGCAGCAGAACATTAGCTAGCTGTGCTCTCATTAAGAAAACGAGAACTAACCACACAGCGAGCAGGAGGTGGGGACACAGAAACTGACAAGTTAAAGAAAAAGCAATGGTGATCTGAAATATAAACATCCTCAGGACAAACACTGTCAGCATTTAGACTCAGGGTAAAAACAAGGTCTAGCGTGTGCCCCCTGGTGTGTGTGGGGCCAGAAACATGCTGGGTAAAGCCGACGGTGTCCATAAGGCATCATGGCAAAGAGATCAGAGGGATCATCAACGTGGATGTTAAAGTCACCAACAATCACCAGTCTGGACAGCTTCACAGTGGAGGATAGAAAGTCACTAAACTCCTGAAGGAAAGAACTGTTTGGACCAGGTGGACGATAGACCACAGCACAGTAGAACGGGTCCTTACGCCCGACTTTAATCAGCTAAAGTTCAAAGGAAGCAAAGTGACCAGAGGTTGTAGAGCTACATGGAAGATGGTCTCTGAAAACAAAAGCTAGGCCTCCACCACGACCAGAACCCCGGGGCTGGCTAAGAAAAGAATAACCACTCGGGCAGACCAGAATAATCAGATGTTTGCTGCCAAACTTCAGTCAGAAACAGAAAATCCAGGTTTTCAGACAGAATTAGATCATTGAGCAGGAAGATCTTATTGTTAACAGAGCGGGTGTTTATTAGAGCCATGCTGAGTGAGGTGGAGGAATCAGAAACTACAAAAACAGCTGGAGTTAGTGGACGTAAATTAGCAGGGTTAGATCCACGGTGTTTATAAAAACCACTTATGGAGGGAACAGGAGGAGAAACCACTGAGGAATAAGGATAAACCGACCTTAAAAAACTTGGACGGATGAACCGCGCCGCAACGCGGCCTGGCGGGAATGCGGAAGTGGCGCTCAGGTCACCAAACAAAGGACAAGAAGCTAGAAGATCGCGCCGATGTTTACCAGATAAACCACGCTTTAAACCACTCTCTCGGAGACCTCTG